ATGGGCGTGATAAGCTCGAAGGTGATCAAGTTGACGAAAACTTCGAACTAGATGACGAGCATCATCATGATGACGACCTTTGTCATCAAGGTGACGAACACGAAGGCCACCACGAGCAGCCACGCTGTTGTCACCCTCATGACCTCCGACGAACACGCCCGGATTCACGCACAACGCCCTGATTAACACAATTTGCACCTGGAACGAAATGGCGTTCGATGGTGGGAAGAGTATCACAATGGGAAACAATGTCGGAACCACAACCTCAAATATGAGTTTGCAACACAACAAACATACGTTTGTGATAACGATGATGTAGCAATTGCACTGCACTACACGAAGGCAAAGGGCACGACCAACGGATATTTTGATAATGATGTAGACCGTGTGGCCATGGACCTCGCTCAAGTACTCACAAAATGTGTAAAATAAGAATGATTTTTTTCACTAAAAGTGACCACATACATAAGTCCGCTAGAAACAACATGGTGACGAGCATTGAGATCCCGGCGGTCGACCACGGTGGTAGAGAATACGGCCTCCATGAATGAAGACCACGAGGTAACGATTGACCAAACCGCCTGCAATGACGAGGATTCCGACCACTACCACGGTCGTGAGAACCACCGCTATGGTCAGCAAGTCGTAACACCAACCAGCATGGTCGATGAAGGTCATGTGCTGACAGTGAGTTATATTCTCATCCACTCCTTTTGCTCACCCATCTTCTCTCTTCACTGTATTCTTCTCGCGACTCTTATTTTCGTTCCGGTTTCCCCCCCTCTGGTTGTCACTTTACCTCACAGCGTTGTTGAACCCGTACGTCAATCACTCCGACGTCACAGAAGATAAGGGTCGGATAGACCGAAGTGCCCAACCTTAGATAGTTAGCCGCTTGGATGCATCTCATCGGCTCATAGCTTAGGTTCGTTGGGGCTAACCAAGGGAAATATCGTTCATCAGACTCTGCTTATCTTTCCTGTATCGTTCCAATTTTCACGGATGTCTCGAAGAACAAGACCTGGAAATATCATCCTCGAGCTTACCAATCCCAGATAATTCAGAATGATTCTCATGGTCATTTTGATTGCATCTGCACTCGAACACATGTTTGTATTTCAACAGTTCATAAGTGTACCAACTGAGCTAGGCTCAGGTTCTATGCCCGATCTCGGCACCGACACGATTACCGTGTCACAAAAAAACTGAGACAAGTAATTTAACTATATAAAAAAACATAAACTTAGGACCTACCAAAATGCTCTAAGGTCGCACCTTGGCCTATCGACTAAACCCATGGCGGCATGTCACACGAATGTTTGGTTCTGCCTATAGGTACGCATGCGCGCACCGGCCAAACAAAAAACAAACTTTTAATCCTTTACTTAATCAAAATAGAAACTTTGAATCAAATATGTCGGCTTATGACACATAAAAGGAATCATGTGCGCGTCAAAACCGCGCACCCACACACTTTCTATTTCCTCTAAACACACGTTTGGTCATAATATATTAAAAAAAACTTAGTCGCGTCTTGCGTGGTGTACCAAACTTCGGAATCAAAACTTGTATCTGACAACTACAGAAATCAGGGCGAATACCCTTGTAAAGGTATTTGTGCTGACAGCGTACCAAACTATATTAAGCGACGTTCTCATCGGCCCGAATGATTAAAAACTAATAATCCACCATAATCCAAATGTTGACGAGAGAAGATTCAATTCGATCGCCTAACTTGACTGTGTTTGAGCGCTTTATTAGGTTGTCCTCGGTCACGACTACTCACTACGAGAATTTCAACATGGGTCTTTGATGACCTAAACTCGGACACTTGGATACTTGATTTGTACTATAGTGTAGAGTTTGCTTTAAGTAACCATTGTTAATCCTCTCCTTTTGTCTTAGACATCAGTTGGCTCATCGTTGGGTGCCATCTTTAATCATCGCCCCGCGTACGGGATTATAACTGAGGACGTGAGCCATAACCGAGACGTTTTTAAGATTTTTCGCCCTTTTAACCAATTATGCAAAAAAATATATGTATAAGATCACAACAAAAATTTATCATGAAGTCTAGTATATGAGGATTAAGTCTCAATCTTGAGCTACCATGGTTTGGTTGATCGGACCAGATCTACGACCCAACCACGTTGTTATTTTGGCGACGGTGCCCTCGCCGGTTGCACGATAATAAACAACTTTTCCTAATAATTTTTTTATCAAGGCTCCGATATCTTGTGGGAGTAAGACTCTTCAGGGTGGTCATACCCCTCAAGCCTTACCCCTTAGTGAGATGTGGGTGCGCTGCCAGGTTGCTCCGGTCAGCGCCCGACATAGGGGGCTGCGCCTCATTGATGCTAAGACTACCCTTTAGATGAGTCTCCTCACGTATGTCTTAAGATGAGCATCATAGTGACTGAACGTTGTGTCACGATAAACTCAGGCCTATTGCAAAACTACTCAGAGGTCCGTTTGATTCAAAAACATTTACCAGCTCTCTATTGGACAATATAGAGGCATAACGTTTTTTCCAAAAACATTCACTGCTAGATTCAAAAGGTCGTGACCCCCTATTTGATCAGAGTAACGTAGGTCACACATCTTAAGATGATTTAAAAAAAATCACCATCTCTGCAACATTCCATAATTTTCACTAATGAATAACCGCTTTCTTGGTTCTTCTCGTCAAAGTTTATCATTTAGATTGCTCGCCATGTCATTTTAAATCATTTGACCACCTTCCAATTAAAAGGGAGTCAACCATAGAAATATTAAGCCATCTTTCGCTTGACGATGGGTCACAAAAAAAATATTAAACCACCTTTCACTTGAAGGGGAGTCATTCATAAAATCTTACAATACTGAGGGACCAACTTATGGGTCCTCAACACGGTTCACGTTAACAAAAACATTCAACATGGACAAACATTGAATCTTATTACATCGATCTTTTGGGATCTTCATACCATTTCACTAATTTGAAATGCACTTCCCGTTCTCATACTAAAATATTTGTTTGTCCATACGTTAGACTGCGCGAGTATGCAGAAGACTAGACAATTCACACATTTCACACTTACAAGCACACGAGATGCATCATTGCATCTCTCATACAAAATAGTAATACATCATGATAATCCACACATGTGAGCGTGATTGTGATCATCGAACAAAAAAGATAGTCTCAAATCTCAAGACGGGGCCCCTCACGTCTTCCCGCCGTTGGCCTTTTGGACCAGCATGCCTCCTGGGCAGACATTAGAAGTTGGAAGAAACAAATCCCGTGCTACCTCGTATTATCGTATTAAACCACCAGTACCTGCCGGTTGTTAAGGCCCGTGGCTCAGCCTACCTGTATCCCGAACCTTGCCAAGCCTCGAGCTACGGGTAGGTACACATTAAAAAAAAAAAAAAATCAACTTCTTTTGCCCCCCCCCAAAAAAAGAAATTGAAAAAAAACAAAGCCCGTTTTGCACTTTCCATCTTTGGGGGGAGAGAGAGAGAGAGAGAGAGAGAGAGAGAGAGAGAGAGAGAGAGAGAGAGAGAGAGAGAGAGAGAGAGAGAGAGAGAGAGAGAGAGGCGAGCACTTGCTCTCTCTCTCTCTCTTTTTTTTGTTTTTGTTTGTTCACGCGGGGTGCCCTCCACGAATGCCAAAAATGAGAATGAATCTTCCGCGCAGAAGGCGGGAAGATTCAATATTTTTTTGCACGTTTTTGCAATATTCCATTTTGCCAAACTCTCTCTCTCTCTCTCTCTCTCTCTCTCTCTCTCTCTCTCTCTCTCTCTCTCTCTCTCTCTCTCTCTCTCTCTCTCTC